TGCTGTGGCGTATGTCTTGACTGTAAGATCAGCTAGTTGTTTTTGGTGTGACTGCCGTTGCAAGGAAATCGAACGAAGCCTCGATGTGGGGAATATGACGAGAGCTGTGTGTTCCCACAGGATGCGGGATGAGGTAGATGTGTATGTGAAATTCGTTATTCACTGACAAGAAGAATTGTATTTAGCTACATTTTACTGTTCTGAGGCAAACTGGTAGTCAAACTATAGTCATCTGCGGTTGTGGAAACAAGTAATTATTACTCCTTATGAAGACGGAAGGGTTTCAAGTAATTTTCATTAAGGATAATTTTTTTCCAATAAAAGTGCTCATTAAGATATAGAAGCATGCTCCTGACTATCCTTTTGTCTTTGGAATGGCTGACTTTTGCATACCGAGTGTCTCGTTTCAAGCTGTGCTTTCCACTTGGAACCCCCAGGGAAATGATAACAATGATAAATGTTTTTTTGTCCTAATAAGTATGTCGTGCTTTATAAAGTTGTTTATAAGTAAAACTGTTTCGAATCTCTTTCTTTCTTTTTCTATCTGTCTCTCTCTGTGTGTCTCTACTAGTATAAGGGAGCGAGATGAGTATACGAGTGTTCCGGAATTTAGGAAGTTACGAAGCAACGTGATAAGTCGAACACCTTCTCCTCCTCCTACGGTGATTCGGAGGCCGCGAGCATGCAAAAAGCGTCGCGAGGTGGAGTATGGTTCATTTATCTGTCTGGAACCGGATATGGTATCTACTCCGGGTCCAGACAATTCATCTGGTCGCAAGGTATGTTGTTGTTGTTGCTTGGTTTTGATTTTCCTTATGATAATGGATGTGCACCTGTTGTTTTTAAGTAAAATTGTATTCATACTCGAATTCCGATGTATAAATTTGAACAGAGGAAGAGCGTCGTTGCAGAATAACATCGAATGATTGTGAAATAAAGCACACGAATGATAAGTTGTTCAAACGTTGCTATGTATACATATATATATATATATACATATATATATATATATATGTATATCTATGCATATATGTATAGAATATGTCTGCTGTTAGAGATGCTAATGTTAAAAGTTATCCTCAGTGTAGTGTTTTCGATAGACTTTTGTTTCTACGATTTATTGGGCTTACCGAACATGCTGAGATTTTTGTTCAAGTTATTTGGAACACTGTGACTGTCTTGTTACCTATCTGTGTTCTGAAGGTGTTAAGTTTTTGGTTTGAATGAAAATATATGTGAGAACTAGTGTTACATTTGTTCTGCAGTATCAATTCTGTATTGTTATCATAATTGTTGTGTTTTAGGAAAGGACCACTTCCAATACGTAAGTTTTTTGAATTGTTGATTTTGAGTGATATGCTGATTTATGTGTTATGCGTTACGATAGTTTATTTTATAGTTTCGACTTCCTTGTGCTTTAATTAAGTGTCTTTCAGAAGTGAGAAGTAAGTGAGTAGGAGTCAGCTACCCATTGTTTGCACAGAGGTAGTGTAGTTACCCCTCCACATAACAGATGAAAGACTTTCCTTTAGTTAATTATAAATAGTGATTGCAATAACTAACTGTTGTCTTCTTATACTGACCTAATCTGATATTCATTCTAGGAGAATGTAAAGTTCCAGTTAAAGTCGACTAGGCATTTGTCACCGAACGCATCGATATCTACTGGAAAGCTTTTACTATCTTGCTAGAATACAAATATGGGTGAAACACTTACGAGCCTATGTATATATATATATATATATATGTCTATATATCTATATATATAAATATGTCATATAACTCTCCTCAAAATAGTGAATACTGGTAAATTCAAAGAGTAAATAGGCAATAAGAGTAGGAAGACAATGGCGCAGATACTCCATATGTATATATGTATATATATATGGAGGGTAGCGAATTGAAACTGCTGTATGGTTTTCGGAAAGTTTTCGGTTGAGAATCAGTTTGGTGTGTGCAACCGGCAGGCAGGTTGTAACCACTCACACACTTTCATAAGGATATGAGTCATCAACATCATCATCGTCCATCTTCATCTTGTTTTCCTGTTACTATCGATAGCACTGAGCAGTTAGGTGTTCCACCTTCTCTTAACTCTGTCATCATTATTAACAGTCTGGGCTGAAGAAGACCACGTCTCACACTTCTCTCATGATAACCGGAATCTAGATGTTCGGAAATAACGCGGAGAATCCAATGCTTCTGAAGCAAACCTAGACACACAGTAGAAATGAAAGTTAAATTAGTCATTGTTACAGATGGGAATAGCCGATAGAATTAGGATACTGTAGCACATGCAGTATTTATCTCTACCCTTGATTAAAGGGCGTTGAAGAAAGTAGTAGTAGACTCAATAATTCATAAATATACAGTGTGAAGAAATTACGTTCATGAAAGAAAGTTTGAAGAAGTGTAAGAATGTTGAACAGGTTCCGTGATTTGAGATGCCTCGAGAATAACTGCCATTCCCAAATAGGAATGTGCGTATCCATAGAAATGACTACAACTTACGTGCAGCAGCTAGGGTTACGAGATGAGATTTATAGCTGCTAGGGTTAGGATTTGGTTCTAGGCATTTTCCCGGATTGCATATGCTCCATAGATCTTGAACAGCATTGGTTATTAGTAAGAAGCTCAATTTCTCCATTATGACCTCATCATAACTCACGTAAACCCTGATTGGGCGCCTCAAAGTCATTGAGTCGCTTATGGATGGTATGGATCAATAATCTTTACCATTGCCTGTATTTGATGTACGCGTGGATAATTTAGTTGTGTTAGTTTTAGTTGCTGTGGCGTATGTCTTGACTGTAAGATCAGCTAGTTGTTTTTGGTGTGACTGCCGTTGCAAGGAAATCGAACGAAGCCTCGATGTGGGGAATATGACGAGAGCTGTGTGTTCCCACAGGATGCGGGATGAAGTAGATGTGTATGTGGAATTCGGATGGGAATCAACGTTGGACGCATCGTTTATTATTCTGCCTACTGTTGAAACGGTGATAAGTGTTGCTGATTCTTCTGACATGATCTAGGCATTAGGCTTGTTGTCGGTCTTCTCTGGACATGATGGTGAGTGAAAGGTTCTTTACCTCGAGCTGCTGGGATGTATACGCCAGGACTTTGAGCAGTCGTGGGCATCAAAACTGTCGAGATTCAAACTGCATCTGGTGTTCTGCAACAGCAAACAAGTATTTGGTGTGTAAGAGCTGTGGTGATTAGTAACTGCTCTCTGGGTTCACTGAGATGTTCGGTGAAATCTCAGATGCAGAGATAGTTCCGTTGAACTGGTGTAAATCAATGATTTTCCCAGTGTATAGGAATTGGGATAAGTCTTCCTGTGATAATCGTGTGGGAATCAGTTTGGCTAATATTGTATCTAAAGTTCTAGGTTCAATAATCATGCCCAAAAAAGACAGACGAAATCGTGTCGATCATATAATCAGCCTCTGATGGATTTTGGAACACAGGGGTACTTACTGACGTCGAATCTTCTCTATATTGTTATCCCGACATCGGAATGTGACGCCGTCGAGTGAGAAGTGCTGCGACGATGTTTGGTCATGAAGAAAGTGACTGACTGACTGACTGGTTTCAGCGTTTGACTTTGCATAGAGGTGCATCAATTCGAGTTGGCACACTCCATGTAGCACAGAAAGCAAGAGAAGAGAGATTCAAAAAAGAAAATCAACAGAAATATGAGGCAAAAGAAAAGTAATATGGAAGAACAATAGAATTTGATTGGATATGATAAATCACAATGAGTGGATGCAACTGCACCATTGCCATAAGGAAAGTGTCGAGAAAGTATATGACACTAATCAAAGTGCCCTACTGGGACTAACGCAGCGGTTTAAGAGCTGTGCGTTGGTGGCACAGCGGTTAGGACTCTCGCCGACCGTGCAAATGGTCCGGGGTTCGATCCCCTGCCGTCGCACATCCGATATCAATGGTCAGCCTGCAGAACTTGGGCTACCGATACTATATGCTAAAAATCCCATACTTGTACCAAAAAAGTTCGATGTGGAAACAAAAAATCTGCCAATGTTCGTCATGCGATTCACTCCTGTTAAGCATAAGATAATGCCGCAGGACTGATCTTCACCGAGTTCTAGTTTAAAGGTAAGAAGTGAAGTTGGAAGTTGCATCAGCCCCAGTGGACCTATTGGTGATGGGAACTTAGCGTAGATACAAATGGCTCATATGGCTTTTGCCAATTTACTACATCTCCGGCTTAGTATTTATATCCGGCTATGGAACGTGTGTACTGCGCAGCAGTTGGCTCTGTATTCCCTTATGGCTGGCTGTGAGACATTGCTATCGAAAGTGGGAGATATGAAAAGGCTAGCTTTCTTTAACCAGAGATGTTCGCGTCCTATTCTCTGTGTTAAGTGGTATAATATGTTGAGTAATATTGAGGTTAGGTGTAGAGTATTACGGAGGGAGGGAAGGTCAACGGGTGATGCTGTGAAGCTACATCGATTGGGATAGAGATGGCTAGGAGACGTGTTGCTCATGCGAAGCCATCACCCTCCTCGACGAGAAAGTTGGCCGACATTGGATTAGGTTTGAGAAAACTTTTGAAGCCATTAAGTGTGGTGGTGGTGCAAATCAGTGCTTGGAGTTCCATATACTAAGAAGTAGATTAGTGTGTCGGGTAACAAGAAGCCTCCATATACTAGGGTGAAATATGGAGAATTTTTCTATTCTGGGACTAACCGAGCACTCTGGAATTATTGTCATGTGTGATTTGTCGGTTGGAGACGATGTATCAGGAACCAGTCAAACTTGAAAATCCGCCCATTGAGTTTTCATTTAATGATCTATGAACGCTGTTATTTTTTCTGACGAAGTTCTAGAATTTATTGTGGTGAGCTGAAGGCTGGCGTTAATCCTTTGCTGGTTATCTTATTTTCACGCCATTGATTTTTGTCTGTTTGACAGAGTTAGTTTTCATACTTCCAACTAATGTTCACTCTCTGTAATACATATTTGTATTCTAGTGAAGACAAACCAATCGCTGCACGTTTACGGTCACGTAAGAAATTATCTCAACAGCCGATGAATAATTGAATGTGGCTCATGCTTTGTAAGTGAATTAATCTAACTTTGTCAATATTCTTGTTTTGATTGTATAGATGTAGCAAAATCATTTAGTGAGGAGATATTTGCTTTTCATTTATGGGGGGGGGGGTTGGTGGTTGTGGTAGTGAAGAGACAACGTACCTCACCTGCATTGAAAGCTCGTTAACTGCATTCTTCCAGCATGGTGTTTATATCTTGTTGATGCTATCACTGAGGAATTGCAGTTTTATGAATAATGGTTTTTTGGAGCTTCTGCCCCAGTGACTTGTTTTGTTGCTAAATTCACATTATTCTCAATGAACTTATCTAGATGACCACTATTAGTCTTAAGCTCCTCATTGAGTGAGTCGTTTGAACAGATTATCCTAGCTGTATTAACCAGACACTTTGCCAAGTTACGTTTGCATTTCAAAGGTGCAAAGCAGGAAAAATGAGTGTACTGATCTGTTGTTGTAGGTTTCCTATGTGTGTGTGTGCCTATTGTTTTAAGAGCTAGAAAAATCATTAGATTATCTTACGGTCTAAGTTTTGGCTTTGATATTAATTATGGGTGAACATTGTCAAGGTGTGTCTCGAAATGTCGCTAATAAATTTTTCTGTTTAAGCAGAAAAAATGAACGTCCTAATAAGATTCAGACTAGTTGGAGTATTTTCCCCCCTTCTTTTTGAAAGCAATGATAGACACAGGTACCTATCACTTGCTTTTCAGACTCAATAGCCCTTTGGTTACTTAAGAGTAGGTTTCCTGGATCGAGATATACTTGACAGTTAGTTATTTGAACTACCGATTTTTTATTATTTATTGTAAATTGTCCTCTGAGTGCTTTAATCACCTTCCAGGTAAATCTATCCGCGTATGGTATCGAAGCGTCGGTGGCACAGCGGTGGAATGCTTGCCAACCTCGCATGCGGTTTGGGGTTCGATCCTCGGCCGACGCGATCCTTTGCCTCCTTGCCTCTAACTTCAAAGCCTGTTCCACTGAGAAGGTAAAGGAATAAAAAAAAGTGTTATCCGATTTGCTTGAATGTTGTTTCGAAAAGACCCCTATTAGGTTGCAGTTGGTTGAAAGAAAGAAGTCTGTTCTCTTTCACAAATAAAGTCTTGAAAACTATCCTTATGAAAGTAGCAAGTTGAATAAGGAAAACCCCACAGTCTAACCAGTCAACTGGTTAGGATTCGATTATCAAGAAACCACAGTTTTCACATGGCCATGGCTGTTTATGTATTTACGTGTGTTTATTTATTACTGTGAATAATTATTCTGAGAACTTAGTGACCGACTACTGACCATTTATGCTGATGAACACTAACATTTTTTTTCGTCTGTATTTATTTTCAGGTATTAAAGTTAAACTGACAACCTTCTGGTACATGTATCTGTAAATGATTGAGAAAACATGACATGTATTGGGGTACGTATTTTTGTGACTGGAACGTCGAATTCTACTATTTGCGTGATTATGTATTATGTTTTCGAAGTGATATAAATAGAAAAGTTAATGTTAGCGCGACATGTGCCACTGGCAAGAATTCGTAAGTGTCATATTGGTAACAGTTACTGCGAGAATGTTGAAAGTGGAGGGGTGGGAGTGAGTTGCGAAAAGGCGAAAATAACATCATTGTGAAATAATATAGGAAACGTGAAATGAAAACAAAAGAAGCTGAACACTAATAGCTTTTACAAAGTGAATAAGTTTCAGTGTAGGTTTTCTATAGTTGGCCAACATGAGGATACAGTGACGTCTCGTTTAAGTATGAAATTTAATCAGATTGTGTTCAATCCTTTTGCTTTCTAAATGGGGATTCTCTCTGTATTATAACCTTCGGAGCAACAGTTCGCGTTAAAGGTGCTCGATGAGTATGTGAAGTACAGTGAAGCGAGAACTTCTTAGGATTTCATTATCGAGTGCATTGAAACAAAGCTGTATCCCAAGTTCTATTGTTTACTTGTGTTTACTTCTCAGGAGAGTTCGACCGAATGAGAAAACACTCAAGCACCACACACTGAATCAGATTGAATAATCCTCAATCCTTTTGCTTTCTAAATCTGAGTTTTGCCATTCTAATTAAGTATCGCATTTTCATTCAGCCGTTTATGCATGTGAGTAAACTGTTTATGATAGTACCAATTACGCTTAAATATTAGGAGGGACGTTCTCTTGGAGCGTATACTTACCATAATTTATTTCATACTCAGTGGAAAGGCATGTAAAATTAGTCTGAAACAGTTGTATGAGCTAATTGAAAGGACATATCTGTATTTGACTAATCATCGTTTACAGCTTAGGTGAATCAGTTATTAAAAGAGGCATCAAAGAAATTTTTTGGTATGGTTGTTTCACCAGTAGTTCGCTCACACTAAAGTGTACAATTGTAAATATATGATTGCTAAGAAAACTTACTCCGGGAGGAAAGTAAAACAGCGGTTCTGAGTAGTAACAATAATAATAATAATGAAAATCGAGACAAAATATTTGTGACAACAAGAGTTAATTTTGAATTCAAAGTAGAATATTTGGTTGAAAACTATCCCCGTCACCTATGCAAATAAGATGCATGTCGACTAAGAGTACCAAACTAGGATGAAACAAGTACTCAGTGTCGCTTGGTGTCAAGAGGTTGCCACTAGTGTCTGATATGTCCTTGTGAGAAAATCAGTTTATATAAGGAATTGTAAGAAAAGTTTTAGAATATGAACGGTCATTACTAGCCCATACTATTTAACCCACTTACTACCATGAATATTAATTCAAGAAAGCAGGAACGTGCACACTGCAGATTGATATGAGTAAATGCAAGGCAATGACGTCAACCAGCAGTACCTGTTAATTTTTTATATACATTTTAACTCTATTATAACTAGATCGCAGCGTTTAAAAATGACTATATGGTTGATTTCGCTCTCACCTAAAATCGTCATCATAAATATAATAAATCTGCTCATCTCAATGCGTTCATCTTAAAGGTCATCATTAAAGCAGAAAATAGCCATTTACTCAACTAACACCTCCCACCCGAATGATTTGAAAGCCTTGTTTCTCTTAGTTTTCAACATCAGATTAGAGTGCATGTGGAAATTGTGTTCGTAATCCGGTAGGCTGAGCATGCGAGATATTTCTATCCTGCTATCTATGACACTACCCTATGGATTCTGTTTCCTGATCGAGCCATCAGAAAGGACAATGTGGAATGTGTAGTCTAAGTTAGATATGTTAGCATAGATATTGGTTACATAACACACTTGGTATCCTTGTTCTTACTACCACAAATAAGGCTAGTGATAGCCTGACGATTTCCACTGCTGCAACTTCGCAGTCTAATCTAATTACTATCTGCCACGTGTCGAGTATAAACAGAGATCACATTCGTCGATATGCATGCATCACTAGGGCTAAACAAACAAGGTATTTAGCATGTGTATTTTTTATTCTTCAATCTTTGACATGCATGTTTACTTTCACTCACTCGCTCACTCACTCTCTATCTCTTTCTCCCACGCGCGGCTTTATCGTCTACATACACGCACGTACACAAACACACCCATGAACGCTTGCATGCATCATTCTCATTCTTCAGACGAATACAGAAATGAGAATTGATTCTTTCTCGGTCAAGTTAGATAAACAAATAGTATACGCTTATGCAAACTGATTCCACTCGAGATAAGTGAGGTTAAATTGCATTGATATTGCTAAGGCACATTCATTTTATCTTATGGATGATGAAATGACCACAATGGATTCTAGATTAATTGATGATGTTGATTCGCATGGTGTAAGTGACTACGAAATGTTTCAGTCAATCTAGAGAGAGAAAGAGAGAGGATGAAAATGCCTTTTCATTATTTGAAGCTGTTTGAGGGAATTACTCACCTTATCGTAACCACTGACTGACTGAGAGAATATTCGAAGACAAGCCTCAGGAAAAGTTGACAGTGATTAGAATGACGAATAAATGTCAGGTGATGTAGAACAAGGAATGAGTATTGGATAGGAGTCAGTCATAGCACTGACCATTGAAGATTTCTCACCTGGACTTTTGGAATTTCCAGCCTGTTTGGTGGAATTCGCAGAGAGAATTATAAACAAATATTATCTTCAACCGCGAATGAATTATGCTTATTTGAATATGATACGCTACCACAACATCAACAATCCCACTATTACCACTACGACTATTACCACCACTATTAATAATAGTGGTGATAATGAAAATAATTAACAAAAAATAGGAATGCTCAAAACTGTACCGTTGATAATAATAATCATGGTGATAATAATAATAATAATAATAATAATAATGGTAATAGGAATACTGGTATTATTATGACTATGATTACTGTCACCACTACCACTAAACTGGTCATCGCGTCATGAGAATATTGTTCAAAAGAAGAGGGTACACCTGTCCTTATATCCCCAGTCCATTGATTCTATCAACAATCAACTCACCTCATGCACACACTTGATTGCGTTTTGTTCAAGCTGCATCATTACTGTATATGACTTCTACTGTTCATTTATTCCCAGATATCCTCAGATAGAATTGGCCTACATCCTGTTTGATGGTAATATGAAATGAATCAAATTAAGTCACTTATTTTCTCCCAGAACAAGCATGTCTGTTGTCGTTCCATCTGTGATGCATTCGAAAACAGCGAATGCGACTATACACGGAAACGATGGTTTCTCGTTGAAATTCAAGCGAATACAGATACTGAGGTTTCAAATCTGCTAAATTAAATTATTTTATCTACTTTATAATTTTACTTCACTACTCACCCTTACCCTCATGAATTCTCTACCAAAATATGTATAAATTAACTCTGTTGTTCTATCTTGTATTCCGCCTCTAGTGCATCCTTGTGTCCAAGAGAAATCAGAACTACACCCCTTAGTCTAATTACTATGCAAATAGTTACTCTTTTAACACTAAGTAATTGTCCGCTTACATCACCTGTGAAATTTTATTGCCTATGCTTCCTATCTATGACAAGAAATCATTGTAAAAAGTGTGTTCAGATACCATTTTGTAACATATAATTGATTCATTTAGGATGTATGCAGTTGAGGAGAATCCACGAAATAAAGCGAGCTCGTCGTATTAGCCTGCAACTATGTTCGTTCTTTCTTTATTCAAACTAATAAAGGGAACCGGCTGTATGAAAATAAAATATGCTGCCTTCATCCTAGAACTATCTTCCCTCCAGCTTTGTTTAAAATGCTCTGGGAAAATGAATGTAATAATTAAATGTTTCAGTCATTTCACGCGTTTCATTGGTGAATCAATAAAGGAATTAGAATACTGATATGATTTATTTGAAAATATAGCAAGAGATTTTAAAGATATACATAGGTTGAACAAGCTAATCTGCTAATCACAGAATCAGAGGCTTAATGAGACTGGTGTGTGTGCTGTTTTACTGGGGGAAACTTACCATTAGTGAACCGCCAAGTATACTGAAATACATTCGTAAAGATTGCGCAAATATCTGTCTCTGCATTCACAAATAATTACCGATTTATAATATTATTTCGAAATAATGACATATTCATTTCTGAAAGTGAAATAAAATTCAAAAACAGTATATCCAAAGATTTCGTGAATGCGGTTCACAGAAAATATCGATTTTGAATTGTTGACTGTGGGTAAGCGATTCTAAAAATACTATGCTAAAGGACGAAATAATGCTGCCTAACACCTGCCAATTATTCAACACAGACCAAGCCGAGTGTACGCTTGCATTCTTACTGTTAGACCTAAACACCTGTCTAAGTACAACTCCATTTTTATCACGAACATTTATGTCACACCTTGTTGTAGTACTTCAGGACTATCTATGTTTGTTGATGAATTCACTGTTTTCGCTGCCGCCTCTTTTGGTAACTCATTGTCCATAGTGACAGGCGATTATAATTCTTGTGATTGTAGTTTTCTTACAGTGGTAGGTCATGAAAATGTTGTTGACATTCCCACCCGACTGGATACTTCTCTTGATCTTGTTTTTATAAATGACTGTGGAATATATGAAGCTCGTAAAAGAGCCCTACTGTTTAACTCCGATCATTGTATTGTACGGGTTTTACCGAAAATTTATGGAAAGTTACACAAGAGAACCTTTTCACACCTGTCCAAGAAAATTGTACCTGGATGATACTCTAAGAAGAATGCCCAAAATCTTAGGAGCATGCCCAAAGACACAAGGTGGGACTTGTTTAATGAAGACTGTCTTGATGACAGTATCTCTAATATTACATGTTATCCCAAATTTTGTCTTGACACCTGTTATCCCAGAGAAACACTTTTCGTTAGATTTGACCGTTTCTCCCCTCAACTTAAAAAGCTTCTCAGAGAAAAGTGAAAGTTATATAAAACGAAGGATAACATTGGTTTGAAAAGAACTAATATCCTCATCAAGTCTGAAATGCACAGGTTGAATTCAATTTATGACCAGAAGTTTATATCTTGTAAAAACACCTCTAATATATGGAAACATTTCAAAGAAATTACTGGTGGTAAGCAGATGAATAGTATTCATTATTCATTTGATGTGTGTACACTAAACAAGTCTTTTATACATCCTCCCATAAATGGCAAACTTTCTAGTGTCACAAGTGTTAAAGAAACCTGCTTCCCTGGTTTCAATACAAATGGCGTTCTA